AGGAAGGCGAGCACTTCGGCCGGCGGCTCGGCCACCGCACCGCCGCCGCCGCCGCCGCCGCCATCGCCATCTCCCCGCCCCGCCGGCGCTTCCGGGACGAGAGGCGTCTGCTTCCGGGGCGCCGCCGAGCCCCGCCCCCGGCCCACGTGGTGCGAGCGGCGCCGGCTTCCAGCCCCCGAGGGCGGCCGAGCCATGAGCGAGCCGCCGGCCGAAGTGCTCGCCTTCCTCCGCGATCACCCGAGTCTGCGGCTGGAGCCCGGCGCCGCTAAGGTCCGCGGGGCCGGAGGAGGAGGTGCGGACCTGCTCGGGCGGCCCCCGCACCCCCTGACCCTCTCGCCCGCCCTCCGCCCCGCAGGTGAAATGCGCTCTCACCGGCCACGAGTTGCCCTGCCGTCTGCCCGAGCTCCAGGTCTACACCCGCGGCAAGAAGTACCGGCGGCTGGTCAGCGCCTCTGCGGCCTTCGATTACGCGGAGTTCGAGCCGCACATCGTGCCCAGCACCAAGAACCCGTACGTGGGAGGGGGCGCAGGCCGGGTACTGCGGGAGGGGCCCCGAGTGGGGCCAGGTCCCAGCGCTGAGTCTGGCCGCTGCCGCGAGGTGGATTCGGAACCCCGGCCCCTCCCCGCTGGCTGCGCGCTCCTCGAGGGCTTGGCGCCGTCCTTCGTAGGTAGATGTTAGGAGACTGGACATCCGGGTTGCAGGCTAGAGCTCCCCGGTGAGCCCCCTCTCCGTGGTGCGTGTTTGCTTTTTGTAAAGCTGAGGCTTGTCACCTAAGGCTCTGAATGCGGTGAGTTCTACGTATTTAAGGAGAACTTTGGTGTAGCTGAACGTGTACGGTTGACAGCACTCGTTGAAGGGAGGGGGCCGGGGGATGCTCCTGTTCATCTAGGACTTTGCCAAGCCAGGTCTTCACTTGCATTCCCTTGTGCGGGAGCGGATGCTGATGACCAGGTGTGTTCCAGGTAAACACCGAGAGGTCACGGTCCGTCCGGGTCACTGGTTCTCCACCCCCGTTGCGGAGTGGGATTGTTTTCCAGCCTTTAAGAATCTTGATGCCCAGTCTGCTTCGGAGACTTCTTTGCCAGGCTCTGGGAATGATTCCAAGATGCAGCCGTGGTTGGAGAGCCACTGGTCCAGACCCTTGTGAACATCCCTGCCAGCCCACGTTTGCCTGTCCCCTAGGCACCAGCTGTTCTGCAGACTCACCCTGCGGCACATCAACAAGGTCCCCGAGCATGTGCTGAGGCACACCCAGGGCCAGCGGTACCAGAGAGCTCTGCGTGAATGTAAGTAGCCGTGGGCGGACGCAGCCTGCCTCAGTTTACAAGTATTTCGGGTGCATGCCTGCTCTTCTCCAGGACCAGTGCCCTCGAGGGCAGAAGTGGTGTCTCAGTCAGCTTTTGGCAGTAGCTGGCGGTGCGCCCGGCCCAGCCCAGGGGAGGGGTGGCGGCGGAGACTGCGATAAAGCAGGCAGTGGGCCCCGACGTAACTGTGAGTGCTGTGGCGGTCTTGTGTCGAGGAGGGCTGCCTAATGCGGAGGCCCTGGGGAGGCGGGGTTTCTGGGCTGAGGCTTTAGGGACATAGCGAGTGGAGGCGAGAGCGCTCCCGTTAGAGGAAGGATTCCGGCAAGGTTAGGGGCGGAAAAACACTTGGTTGTGGGAGGTCCTGAAGGACGGCCACTGTGACACCACGCAAGGTGGGGTCGGGGTCAGCAAGGTAGGTGGGACAAGGACACAGGGGGTCTTGGAGGCCACAAAGGACTGAAGCAGGGACTGGCAGTCACTGTGTGCGTCAGGGTCACTGTGGCCCTTGAGGGCGGGGGTGGGGGGTGGGAAGGAGTGGAGCAGGGGACCCTTGGCGGCCGTGCAGCCAGCTGAAGGGGACGGTGGCCGGGGCTACGGGTGCTGGCAGGGAAGACGTGGACAGATTGCAGCTGTTCTGTGGGTAGAATCAGTAGGTGAGGGAGAGGAAGAAGTCAGCTGTGACTCCCGGATTCCTGGCCCGAGAACCGGGGTGCTTACGAGAGTGGCATCTGAGTCGCGGGCTTTGTGGGGAAATGAAGCGTTCTCTTCAACGTGTGTCAGGGAAGGTGGCTGTTGAAGACACGGGCCAGTGCTCAGATGATGCACACCACTGACACTGAGTGGCGTTTGCGTCCACAGAGCCGCGGAAGAGGGGACACGAAGAGCCCCAGGAGGGGGAGAAGCAGGCGGGGTGGTGTCGGGACGGAGGTGTCGAGGAGGAAATGGTAGACGCTTCTCAGGTGCTCCTGAAGGGAAGGTGGGGACAGAGCCGGCGGGAGCCCCACGGGGAAGAGAGGGCCAGGTGGGGCAGAGCCAGTGGGTCTGGGTATGGAGAGAGAGGCTAGATGAGGGAGAGAACTCTGAAGGCTGTGTTTCCCCAAGAAGAAATGAGGCCCAGTCTTCGCCCACGGGCAAAAGTGAAGGACCCGTGAAGGGTCCCACGTTGGCACAGAGCCTGGGGGCTGCTGGGTGTGGGTGGGAAGAGAGGGACTGGGTTTTCCCCAGTAAGAGAGTCATCCTGATGCTGGAGCGCGTGGCTCACGGGACCAGCGGCCGAGAGGAGCCAGAGCCCGGCAGCTGGGGAATCTGGCCGGGGGTTCTGAGAGGGGACGCCAGGTGTAGGGTCCGCTGGCCCCGAGGCCGTGTGGGGCCACAGAGCGAGTGGCAGAGATGAGGCAGGAGAGAAGAGCCTGGCGGTGGGGGACATCAGAGGCCAGGGCCCGGTCCCCTCCCCCTCCTCCCTGAGACAGGAGAGCACCGCCCACAGAGGGCCACCTTCAACAGCCAGGCCCCTTGGTGCCACCCCGCTCCTCATCGGGGCTCGGTCTGTGTCCGCCACGCCGGGCGTCCGGCCTCCCCAAGGCCTCTGTACACAAGACGGTGTGGAGGCCTCGTTGCGGCCCCCCCACCTGTTCCGGGCAGGGTCAGCAGCGTCCAAGCTTCCGCTCTCGCCCAGGCTGGGGCCCGGCACAGCTCTGCGTCTGCTCACACCTCGCCCGCGCCCCCACCGGCCTCCCCTCCTCTCCTCGGAGCTGAGCCAGGGCACCTGAGCCAGGGCACCTCCCGCCACCACATTTTACCCAGCAGACCGGGGGGGGGGGGGGGGGGTGGGGGGCCCAGTGGAGCTGGTCTCTGCTCCGGAGGACAGGGGGGCAGACACGGCGTGCCGGCCCGTCTCCCAGATGAAAGGTGTCAGAAGCAGGGCGCGGAGTATGTGGCCGCCTGCCTCCTGCAGAGGAGGAGGAGGAGGAGGGAGGACCAGGTGGACGGCGCCGGGCCGCCTCGCCGGGGAGAAGCCTTCTGGGAACCTTCGTCC